TATAAGATACATAAAAATTGACAAGGACTGCTTCTGTTATCATATATTAAGATCGACATTAATCATCCTGCTTGATTACTAATTCATGCAAGAAATATGTTTTTGTTTTTTGCAGTGTTAATTGGTTTGAAATGTTTCTCAGTTTTATATCAAATCATCAATATATAGGATTAAAACGCATCTGTTTAACAATATATTAAATTTCAATGTAAAAAAAAAGAAACTTAGTTAACAAATGATTTCCGGCACTCGTAAGAACTAACAATGATGCCGTCATATTAACCCTTCATTTATTTTCTCTTCATCCACCCTTGGTTGTTCTAGTGCTGGTGTTTCTAACCGTTTACTCCATATTGCTGTATTGTTGTTGTTGTTCTAAGTAAACTAAATTGTAGTTCTACATAGTTTACTTTCTTTTGATTATGGAACCCTTGCTTGTATTGCTTTATAAGACAATTTTCCTTTAACGATACAAAGTTTTGAGTAAGAGCTCACACTTCTACTTCCCTATCTGACCGTTAAACGTCCCACAACATCCGGAGGATGCGACTGGTGATGGTGTTTCTATGTTGTCAATAAGAAATGTTTAGCAAAAAATATTTATGTATATAATATCACGTTTCAGAATTTTCTGCAAACATTCGAATGAAACTACGTTAATTCAAGTTTCTGCTTCTTATGAGATAATCTATGCAGGACAGCAGTTTCATAGAGACATCCGATTTATTCTTTCAATAGCTATGTCTCTTTCTCCTTCGTATCTAAGATTCTCTTATGTTCTTTGAATAATACCCAAATATAGTCCAATAATAGCAATATCAGCCCAAACTTATTGAAATCTGCTAAATATTATCGATATTTGGAAATATGTACATTAAGAATAAAAGGACAAATATATCTGATTTGTTTTTATGGAGTAGATTCTACTACTTTAGTTAATTTGTGATAGCTTTTGTGTGTAAAATATTACATTTAGAAATTGGGGTTTAATTTTAAAAAGTTTGTAAGCAATTAAAAACTAATTATTTTTGATATAAAAGTATATATATATTTTAACTTTCTACGCTGTATTTTAAATACCCGAGCTTCAGAAACGAGATTCATCTTGTGATGAAAGAATACGTATCTTTTTGAAAACAATATTTTGTTAAATGAAGAGAAAAATATCTCTGCGAAGACAGTCCGAATTGTGGCAATTGAAAAATATATATCTTAGTGAATTTAGATTAGCATTTTGCGAAAATAGTGTGAAATACTGCGAAAAGAAAAGTATCTTAATGAAAACAATCTTGCATTAAGCAAAAGAAATTAAATACTAGAGTGAAATTAATTAAAATTGTGTGGCAATAAAGAAGCTTTATTTTCGAAAGCGAAAATAAAATACTCGTGTGAAATTAGGTGAATTGATGTGAAAAAATAATAATTTAGTGGAAACATTAAAATAAACAAAACTGGAAGTGAAATTTTCTACCCGAATAGTATAATGCACACTAATATGTTAAACGGCCAGGTGAGAGATTACTATCTTTTTGAAAATAAACTGAAATACGATGAAAGGTGAAAATTTTAAAGTAGAAATAGTGTAACATTAGATGAAGAGAAGTGCGGAATGTGAAAAGTTTGTTTTGGAATTTCGTGCAGGGTTATTTGTGCATAGTCTTCCCTAATTAGTGAAGTGATAGACTAGGGAAAAGGCAGCTAATCAACGTAGCAACCATCGCCAGCTCGTGAACTACTTTTGTCTGATTGAATAGTGAGATTTGAGTGCCAGTCACTCTTAGATGGTGTATCCTCGATCCTAAATTTCAGAGTGCGTTTTTGCGACAACAGATTACGAACCCTAAACCCTCGGGTTCATGGCCTGGATATTCAAACACTAAGACATTTATGACCCGCAAGTTAAAAAAAAAATACCTCTTTGAAGACAGTCTGAATAGTAATAAATGTAAACTTATGTGAAAGAAAAAATATGTTATCATATCAAACTAAAAACAAATATATTTGTGAGTTTTTTTTTAAATAGGCAAAAGTAATAATGGATATTTTAAAATAGTCTATAGATAGTTGAAAAGAAAAATATTCTCGAAAACAAACAGAACTTGGTGTATGTTTTATAAATGTACACAACTTTTCATTCCATCGCTGCTAAGTGTTTGGGTGTCTCTAGCTTTCCAGACATAACAACCAGACGTTTTTCAGCTTCTGGTTAGGTTAGTATAAAAATATCAACTCAAAACAGATAACGAAATGCATACCATTAGCAAATAAGAACTATGGTGAACTTAAATACTGAATAAAAACACCAAACTGAAGAGTTCGAACTTAGATATCTGAGCACATATATGAAAAACAGTACGAATATAGGCAAAAAATGGCTGTTTGAAAATATTTTCGAAAGTCCCAAAAATACTTTTGTTCTGGAAAAAGCAAATGAATATAAAATAATATTTTAGTAATAAAAAGAGTCTCAATTTAAACAGAAATAAATAAATAATTATACTTGTCATAAGACATTAGTATTAGGCCTATTATATTTTAACACGATACGTGCTTCTCCAGCTTAGAAAAGGAAAGTAGTACGAGAAAGTGGTCTATTGTTGGAAATTCTAACAATAGATATCTTGAGCTTGTAGCCTGATGATGGAAACTCTAACGACATCCGTAAAAGGAAAAATAGCAATGGGAAAACAAAGACATCTGTGGTTAGACGACATCAAGAGAATGGTTGATTATTCGACGCTAGAAGTGGTTCACCTTCGCAGAGATAAAGAGAAAATGGAGAGCCATAGCCGCCAACATCTGGAACAGTGCAGGCACCACTAGTTGATTGATTGAGCCAACGCCATCTTTAAGCAATTAATAATCTTTTTAATACTTACCACATCTCATGATGATAAAAATAGTATTGTAAGCTAATGTAGCAGATGGCGCTCACATTAAAATATGGATGCAATGTAGGAAATGTGACGTTAGACTGAGCAACTGGAATAACCATCCTTAATTTTGAACTAATAGACTAGAAGTAAGGCAACTAGTCAACAGTACCCACCATTAGCTCTTGGGCTACTATTATTTGACCGAATAGTAGGGTTTGGCCGTCACTGCCCCATAGTCTTGAATGTGATTTTTTACAACGGGACGCGAACCATAAATTCTTGAATTGATAAACCGGGCCTACGTTTGGAGGAAAATATTTTGTTATTCGGCACACAAAAATATTTTTTGTGTGAAAACAGCTACGAATTAGATAAAAATAAAACATGAATGCAATAAAATAATATGAATTTATGTGAAAAGAATCAAATGCGACTCTCTGATAAAACAAAAAGCAATAAAATTTGAAATTATTGGCTAAACTAACATTTTAATAGGTGGTAATAAAAGATACATATGAAGGTCAAATATTATAAACCTCTGATATACTGCGGTTAAAGCAAAAGGTGTTTTATTACTAAGGGATTAAGCTAGATAAGCCTTGTAAAGCAGTGATCAGTCAACGCATGCTCTAACGAGTATATATCAAGTTATGGTCACGTTTTCCTTTGGGCTTGTTTTTAAATTCGAATCTTTATTAGGAATCTAGATCAAGATTGAAACAGTCACGTAAATTCTACTTTTTCAGCTTTTCTTATCACTCGTCGATTCTCTGTTCTGTTTGGAAAGAAATATTATATGTGTGTATATATATATATATATATGTACCTGATCTGATCTTTCTATAAGAAAAAAACGTTAGTCTAAACCAGAAGGCTGTAAGGCTCCCAGATTGTAGGCGGTCCTCCAATGGATCAGCGTAAATTTACAACGCTAAAATCCGCATTTCGATTCCCCAAGGCGGACAAAGTGTAGATAGCCATTGTGTAGCTTTGAGTTAAGAAAGCGACGAATAACCTTTTAAGTCGTTCTGTTTTGCGAATCTCTGTTGGGACACGTATAAGTTGTTGGTAGTTAAATGTGTGCCTATAGGTGTATCGCGGTCCTGTAGTTTAATATGGTTTAAAATATTCACGTTCTCCACCACCGAGTAGTCGGCTTGTTTTTCCAGTGTATTACCTGCTGCAATTTTTGTAAACTACACAATAAATGATACAATCAGTGACGTATTAAAGGGATTGCCTTATGTTGAAACTTGAGTATTCTCCGTTTTTGTGAGTGGTGGTGGTGTATATATGTGACTCATCTGTTTCATTTACTTGTTTTAGTGCCTGGTGTATCTTGTTGTTTGTTTTTGGTGAAAGTTGAGTATTCTCCGTTTTTGTGAGTGGTGGTGGTGTATATATGTGACTCATCTGTTTCATTTCCATGTTTTAGTGCCTGGTGTATCTTTTTGTTTGTTTATGGTTGCTGTTTACCACGACTTCTTTTAGGTTTGTGTCATGTCTGTAATCAATAATGGGTGGGCCCTTAAAAACAGATTTATTGGTAGGGTCTTCAGTATGTATTGTGTAATTCTTTAGTATAATATCTTTAGTTTTCTTTTTGGTTTGATAGCATGTTAGCACAAGTAAAAAACAATCGATCTGTTCTTTTTTTGGTAGGGTTGAGTGGTTGTTCTTATTTCCTATGTATATGAACTAGCTATGTAGGCTGCATTGTGGATGAGAGAATCAGGATAGCCTCTTTTAAAAGAAGAAAATTTTCATGTCTTTTGTTTTTTATTTGTAGTCATTATCATTACAGTTTGCGCATTCGTAGAAATTGTGAGTATGGTATTGACTTTTTGTTGGAATTCTTTCAAAATACGATAAGTCATATATGGTATGTTGATGCATCATCTGAGTTCGGATTAAAATATGGTAGTATTGATATATTGAATTTTATAGCTGTTTGCGTGCATATGTGTACATTAGAAAATAAATCACAGGCTAGGAACTTGATGGTGTTTTAGGACAATTTGCTGTGTTTGTATAAATGTATTTATGTATATTTTAAGACACATGCAAAATAGTGGCATTTGTGTTTTATTATATTATTATATTTGATTTTTTGTTTTGTTTTAGGCAAAATTTTAGAAAACATGCCCTTTCCGGCATTACAGTTTCCTTACTTTCCAATTATGCAACAAGCGCCAAGCTCTATCGTCGTAAGTCAACATTTACCTCTAGCTACCGAAGCGCCATCTTATGAGGTTCATTCCTCAAGTGTCATACCTACACTAGAAGTACCATCAAGTGTAAGCAAATTCACCTGTCCAACAGTGACGTCACATTCAAAGGACGTTGTTCTTGAATCTATTCGATCGAATGCTGCTGACAGTTTGTCAAATATTTCACCTGTGTCATCAAATAATGTGATGAATATTCACAATCCCAGGGTAAGAATTATTATGATCATTAGTAAAATGGCGGGTAACAAATCTTGTTTTAATATATATTCAGGAAATACTTAAATATCAAAAATTTAGTTTATTGTAAACCATCTAGTTTTGTATTCTTATAATTTTTTCATAATTCTAAAATCAAAATGTGTTCATGCGAATCATAAAACATTGCATTTCTTATATTTTTGTTTAATTTTCATTTGATCTTCAAGATCCACTCACGCGAATATACAATAAAAAGTTTAAGTTAAATTAATTAAAAACGTTAAAAAATTCCACTTTTGCAATAATTTACTAATTAGCTAAACCTAAGGAATAATACCAGTGAACACTTTAAGCATATTCACTGTCTGTTATTATTATTTTCATTCGAAAGAGTAGCAAGTAAAGTTAAATCTTATCTCTATTTCTAAAAAATGAGACATTAAAGAAATAATAAATGCGCCTCTATTTCTCATTAACAAATTATAAAATCATAATTACATATCAGGAATAATAGTTGGACTTTATCGAAAGATTTCTAAGTATTTATTAAAATACAAAAAAGATTGAAACAACGTTTTTAGTGTAACAACTTTTGCTTATTCGTTGCAATTTACTCTAAAATAATAATTTAACAAGTATGTGTTTTTATAAAATAAGATGAAATTTAAGCATGAATCAGTATATTTTGATACCATTTATCTAAGCATTTTTACTGCATATTGTAGTTCAAAATTATCATCATGAAATTTCGAAAGAACGTACGAGACGATAAAGTTTCACATTGCAGTTTGATCTTTAAATACCACATTTACTTCTGAGTTATCTCCGATATTGTACAATTGAAAATTAAATGTTCAATTTTACTTTAGATAATACTTCATTACTTAATAATACATTTTACTTTTAGGATATGGCGACTATTCTAACTCTAGCTGCTCTAGGATCTAAAGTTGCGACTGCTAAAGCGTCTCCAGAGGGTGTTCCTACAGTTTTTCCAGCCGAAGTTTCAAGTCCAGTATTACCCATAATTTCGTCAGTTACTACAACTCCTGCGCTGATGGCCTCGCCCAATGAAGAATCAAGTAAGTGTAATAAATTTGATATAATTATCAAGAATGTAGGACAATTTTTAGATGCAAAATATTACCGCATAAAAATAAATAAACAAGTACTATTAACTCTTCCACATCATAATTTATTACTTTAAATATCACCTTCTGAATATCTTAGAATATAACTTTCTTATTACTTCATGCAATAACTCCCATAGCCAATTAAAAAATAAGCCCAATTTTCTCAGTGTTATGATAACATCTACAGTAGTATGTTTTTGCCATTACCAATTAATATTGTTATAATTGTATTTCAGTACCCTTTTCGTAGTTTTAGATAAAAGAGAAAAGCAAAAGTTGGCAGATGGTAGTTATGTGGCCTATGCATATATATTATGATCTTATACGAAGGTTTCTGAAGTCCTTTTAATTTTTCTGGTCATTGATTCATCGCTCTTTTCTGTTGTTGTTGTTTTTTTGTTTTTTTTGTTGTTGTTGTTGTTCCAAGTGTTATCCGCACGTAAATCTTTCTCATTTGTTTATGTTTTGTTTAACTACTTCAGGAATTTCAATTGAGTGATTTCATATGCTTACGTCATTGATGTCTGAGGGATATCTAAATACATATAAACGTGTTCACAGAAATGTACTATAACCGAGACAGATGGTCCATTTTTGTGTGGAGTCCTATAAAAATTACATTAGTTCAGATTAATAACTCTTATACATTTTTTTTTCATTGAAAGCAACTGATCTTGGGAAAGCTATTTTGAGGCCATAAAAAAATGTCGGAAACACAAAAGATTAAGTGCCGTCCTTTCAGAATTTTCAACTTATCGCATTAGTTATGGTCAAAAAGTGGCCATTATAGTGTTGATTCAGTTCTTAGTTGTTTTTTTTTTTTCTTCAATAGCTTAATGAATTCGTTTCTTATCGCAAGTACAGTAAGTGATAACATCTCCAATGGGAGAGGAATCTTCTAAAAGTCTCAAGGGCATCTGTTGACCTGGGCAACATATCATTCCTATACTCTAAAGATGGATAACTTGTACCCCTCTAAAGGATCAAACAAAGGTTTCAGGTTCATTTAAATAAAAAAACTTATTTCGGAGCTTTCTTTTCTTTTTTCTAAATCTTAACCATGCCTTCTGGTGACTGACTTCAAGGTTTCATGGTTAAAATATGTCTTGTGCTCTCGTTTCGTTTTAACAAAAGCCTTTCTTCTGAATTGTTATCTTGAATATAATACTGTTCTCATAAAATATCATCACCCGAGTTCAGATGTAATACCTTTAAAAAAACTTATATTAGGTTTTTATGCGAAAAATATGAAATAATATTTCACTAGTCTAAAAATATTATCAAAATTTAAAGAACACCTTGCTTAGAACTGGCAATGAACACTCAACAACACACAAAAAGTGGCTACCATAATGTTTTACCTTTTTCTCTTAGTGACGACAACTAGTAATTTTTTTCTGTTAAAAAGGAATACAGTGTTCAAGTTACATCTTTCTTGTCTGCAAATAATTTTATATTTATTATTTCTGGTTTGTTAATAATTAACCATGTCTCTATTATTTTAACAAAGATTTACTTTTATATTTAAAATCAAGGTTTATAGTTTATTTTTTAGATCTCAGTAAAATGTTGCAGGATAAAACTTGATGAGCTACCCGAAATGCCTTACTTCTACTTAAAACTTGGTGTCCCAGTGGGACAGCGGTAAGCCTACGGACTTACAACGCTAAAATCTGTAGTTCGATTCCCGTGGTGGACACAGTAGATAGCCCAACGTGGCTTAGTTAAAATGAAATATTTTTATCCAATGAATGACTATTCAAATCTTCGATTAGATAATATATATTATTTAACTGTGGCAACGACAAGATTTTTCCCAGAATTACAATCAATTCGGTTATGATATTTCGCTATAGACTGAAGATTTATATGCTAGTCCATTTGTGCATTTTAAAAGTTACCATTGTCTCAGTATGAACGGACACAATCATGCATTGTTTTGCATTTTGGAAAGCTCGTGGGAATTGTTATTTTACTCGACTTGTTGAGATTCTGAGCTAGAATAACTGCACATAGACATACGGACATACGTGATGTAAAAGGTCTGAGAAAATAACAAATTATTTTATTTCTCATTCCTTCATCTTTTTAACGCTTCGGCGATTCGTATATTTTAAAATGGTGATTTGATACACAGTGTATGACATTTGCATTAAATTTACTTATATTTTACTAAATAAATAAAAAAAACTTTGATAAACAATAGGGTATGAATACTTTTCAAACACAAATGAAATTTTTTGGAGATTATATATTTAATAAGAGTACGTTGTTTGGTCAGCTGTTGGCATAAATTATCGTGAGATAAAATAATTGGTATAGAACACCACCTACCATTATTCTGGCGTCTATGATAAACTCCAGCCAACATACTACTTATCCTACTTGAAATACGTCTCACTGAAGTTAAAACTCGTATTATTCCCACCAAAGGACTGGTTAGAAGATTATTAGGTATTGCCAGGAGTTGAGATAAAGTATCTGTTTTGTATGGTATAGAGTGCTTAGTTTCTTTTTTTTTTGAATCTCTTATTCCCTGATTAGTTTTTATCATCTAATGAATCTAATACATTCCTTTTTTCTTTTTCTTTTTTTTTTATCTTGAGCCAACTTCCCATTACGCTTGAAAAAGCTTATTACCGGTGGGCGGGACTAGCTGTAGAAAGATATCACATATTACACTTGAAAATCCTGACAAAGACAGATGGCGCTACGAATTCGATGTCTAATGAAAACTCGTTTAGACAGGAGATAAAAATTGTCATTTTAGCTTTCCATTCAATTTTTTTTTTACCACATACTCTCTATAATTCATCATTTTGTTATTTTGAATTAATGCTACTGCCAGTGATATTTTTCAGACAGTCTCTACCTCTATTGCATTTTTTCAATTGATAATTTGTTTTTTACTTCTTTAGTACAAATGGATGACTTTTATTCAACTCTACCCTATCGCTAGATAATACTGTTTAACCGAGAAAGAAAGAATAAAAGTGTAGCATATTATTATTATATTAACTGAGATAAAGTATGTGGATATCACACTAGAGGGCTAATATTCAAATTTTCTGGAACAAATATTTCTTGGAAAATTAATTCGTTAGTTTTATTTCTTTAGTATTTGCATAAAACAATATTGTTATATTACAATAATCGTACATTGTGACTGTTGCATCTCATAACAAATAAGCTATGTCATCTTGGATGTTTGATATTGTTAGTCATAAAAACGAGCACATCTTTTTCATTCAGTCTTTCCCTTTCTTAGTTACAAATGAAGCAGTATTGAAACTATACGGTGGCGAAAAATACATTAGTCACATCCATAGAACAGCATTTTTTGTTATTCTAAGATGTACTTGAAAGTGGAAGACAGTGATAAATATACATTGCTCAAAACTAGTACTTATAAATTTTCTAGAACAGTTTTGCAAATGATTATCTATGACACTTTATCATAAATAAATTTCTATAAATCACTCTGTTTTTGTTCAGTAATAGTCGTATTATTTGAATACAAATAAACGGAAAACTGCTCAGGACGGTATTATTTGTAAATAATAGGAATCAAACTTTAATCTTACTCGTTCAGTTTTATTGCTTATGTTTAGTTTGTTATCGCTGCCCTCCAGTGGCTCAGCGCTAAAATTCGATTCTCGATATATGCAATGGGCAAGGCACAGACCGTTCATTGAATTACGCACAAAGCTACGCTACCATACTTCATTTAAAAGTGACGAACTACAGGAAAGGCAACTAGTCAATAATACCTACCACCCACTCTTGGGCTACTCTAATCGAACAGTAGGATTGATCGTCATATTATAACGTCTACCACGGCTGAAAGGGTGGAACATGTTCGATGATAAGATCCGAATCCGCGACCCGTAGGTTCTGAGTCGAGCGCCCTAACTACCAGGCCACAGCACAGATAGCGTATTGTTTAACTTTGTGTTTAACAGCAAACAAACAATTTTTAACGGTCTGCCCCTGGTGATAACTTTAGACTACAAGTATTTTTATTTTATTTCGATAATATTTTCATTTCATTTAGAAAGCACGAATCCAGCGTCTGAATTCGATAGAACTTACTGCAAATTTATTATAAGTTTAATATATTTTTATTTTCTGTTAATGATTAAACAATACACTTAATGTATGGTATAAATGTCTGTCTCTTCAACGTATTTGTTATGTTATATTCGTGTCTAACCAGTAGGTTTATTGTGATATTTTCACGTCTATCCAATATATTTACTGTGTTATATTTATGTCTTTTCAACAAATTTACTGTTTCACAATCATATATATCCAACAAAGCTACTATGTTATAGTCATATGTAACCAATATATTTAGTGTTCTGTGCATATCTAACCACAACATTTACTTTGTTATGTTAATATATATAACCAACAGCTTTACTTTGTTATGTTAATATATATAACCAACAGATTTACTTTGTTATGTTAATATATATAACCAACAGATTTACTTTGTTATGTTGATATATATAACCAACAGATTTACTTTGTTATGTTAATATATATAACCAACATATTTACTTTGTTATGTTAATATATATAACCAACAGATTTACTTTGTTATGTTAATATATATAACCAACAGATTTACTTTATTATATTAATGTATTGTATTAACGTTTAACGTATATATTTACTGTTTCATATTCATGTCTACCAAACGTATTTGTTAATATCCATGTACCATACGTATTGTATTATATTCCAGAGGTGTAGGAGAGGGACGAGGTTTATTCGACCGAGAGAAGTGAGGGAGTGTGCGTCACAGGTGCACCCATTACAGTCGGGGTCCAGGGCCCGCCTTAGGGCTCTGGATTAAATTTTATGCATTTTCATGGTTTTCCTGAGAGTAATTTTCCAAATTTTGATGCATATTTACTGGGAAACATAGAAAAGTGGGGGAGGACGCCATTCCCCGCCTCCTACGCCATTGTAGTAATCTCTACCTAACACATTTACTGTGTTTATGTTTATGCCTAACCAATAGATATATTTTGCTGCATACATGTGCGGTCAGTATGTTAAGTGTGTTTTGTTTTATTTTGCAATTAGATATGTGTGCGCGCATGTTAACAATGTACCTACTGTAACGTATTTAACAGACTGTTTCATGTTATACTTGTTTAACCAACCGCTTTATTGTGTCATACATACCTAACCATTCAATTCAATGTAGTGTGCGCGTTTACCTAGCAAATGTGAAATTTAACCAACAAATTTACATACTGTACGTGTTTAATTGGTACGTTTCCCTTTTGGGTTCTTGTAAGCCTCACGCATGAATGCAATGTTGAAGTCAACTCCCCGCAGAAAGATGATGAACAACAACAACAAAATCATGTTGCACTTAGAATAATTGCTAAGTTAAACAATGCTAAGCGGCATATAATAAACTGTGTCTTGGTTTTACGTCCGTAACGTTTTATTAATGAAACACTAATTTAGGTCAACTTTCGTGGAGCGACACGCCATTACATAGATTATTTTCATATGTATTTATTCTGTTTGTAAGCGCAAAATCATTAAGGTGCGTAATTTACAGAATTTTAGCTTGGTAGTCATCATGCAGTTAAATTCGACGAAGGGGAACCGGTGGCATTGAAAGAATGAACAAATTATGCCTTTGATTATACTTTTATAAAAGAAACATTCGTAACTCGTTATAGAGAAAAAACACTGAAAAATTCTAAGTCCTTCTGCTTGGTATTTATCGTATTACATGAACTAATAACAGAAAGGGAAAAGTGTTGTCAGTTTCACGCACAGTACTTACATTAGAGGTTTTAGGCTTAACCAGGAATCATCTCTTAGGAAGTGATTAAATACAGTGTATCAGAGTAATTTATGATATTTATATAACAACAACGACTGGAGATGTGTGGATTTTATTTGTCACACGTAGACATCATGGCTACGCTTGGGTGACCACAAACTCAAACTCAAAGTTGTTTGCTACGAGTTTCAAAGTTTTTCCAGTGATTTATATCAGTCGCTGATTTCGTTAAGACCAACAGTTATATCTTTTTTTTTTATTATTGATGGAATAAAACGATTACAGTATAAGTGGCCGATAAAACTTCACACCACTCTATCTACCTATTTTTTAAACCTCGAAGAAGAATATTCAGTGACGCCTTTGTAGTACTGAAAGCTTCTCTTTACACATACAAATTTAGTTAGTTGAAATTTGAATTTAGCAAACTTTTGTTGTACTTATTCGTACCATCTTAAACAACAACAACAAAACAGCAAATTGTGATGTATCTGTAACTAAAATACTGTTTTTTTTTTCACTTTTGTTTTACAATGTTGAATATCTGTGAAAAAGATATTAATTTTTATTTTCAACCCTGTTTCTTTTCAGTGCAAGAAACAAAAAATAGATTTCATCCACTGAAGCTAAACCACGAAAAAAGCAGACCTATGGATTACACTCGGTACGTAAAAAGGTGAGTAGGAGGTTGAGGGTTATCTGTGGCCCAAAGGTAACGTTACCGATAACTTAGTTATCATTTAGCACTGGAAAAAACAAAAAATAGCAAAAAATAGAATCTTACATTTGACACCTTAAATATTTTTAAAAACTTTACACAGGATAATTTGTTTCTTCTAAGATATAGTGGCCTCAAGAAAATAATAGTAACTAGATGGACTTACAGACAGACAGATATTTATAGATAGCTACTTTTATTTGCTGACAAACAGGCAAAGGTAAATAAATAGATCGTTCTTTGGGTAGTGGACAAACATAGACAGACAGAGAGACAAACAAAACGATAAAGAGAGAATCATTGTTTTAATCAAGTGATTGATCATTTATATTTGTTCCCAAACTGTTGAGTTCGCAGAATCATTAAAAAACCAGACTTGTACGGCATAAAAACAGATGATAAGCTATTAAAATGTAAATTTTCTATTGAAAAACTTAAATTAGTTATATAATTTTCAATAATATATGAATTCATAGGGATTTCTAATACTCAGTATTCATCAAAGTATTAAAATAAATGTATTGTATATGTACATGACTCACTATGTTTATTCTCTCATTTATTACTAATTTTATCTATAACAATATTTTTAATTCAGTTTCTTCACTATCCAAAGTTTTAAACTTGTTCTGATAATTCATTTGTAACAGATCCAGATTCTTTATTTTTATTTGTCAGATTTACGAATGCAGCGGAATGTGGAAGTAATTACTGCAAGGACTTGAACTACCGGGAACATTTTCATTGTCTAGATTGTAATTCAAGGGTATGTTTGCTTTCAGAATATACTGCAGCGATAGGTAGAGCTTTAAAGTGGGTTTAATGTTCAAGCTGACTACATCCTCGCTAAATATCTTTGGACATGTTGTTTTTTACAGACTCAAGGATGTTGTGAAAAAATAATTTGTTTATATGCTCATTTTCGGTTTAATTTACATGGCTTTTGCCTGTTATTGGTGTTGTTTAATTATTTTTGCTTCTTTGTTTGTTGTTATGCACAAAACTACGCAATTTGATGTGCTCTCTTCGGGTATCGAAGTCCAGTTTTTAGCGGACATTCAAACTAGTACATGAATTACTATCTATTACATTGCATGAATCAGAATTCACCCAAACATGGCTAAAGTTGATGATGCATTTAAATTTCCATCTATTTGAATCTTTAGAGAAAATTGAACAAAATTCAGCCTTATAAAAATGTTTCAAAATGCTGCATTTACATCAGTATTTACAAGAATTTCTTATCGAATGGGAGTGTGCGTTTAATAGTTTAGCGACTTACTTAGTTACCTACTGGAATTTCGTATTGGACGAGCAAGCATTGTTGGCTATTAATATGTGAAAACTCATGAAAAACAATACCTGATTGGCCTTGAGTGGCTACTAATATTCAAAAACCTATAGGAACCCTAGTCTGGTTAACATTGTGTAGCTACTAATATTCAAAAACCCATAAAAAACCTAGTCTGGTTAACATTTTATAGCTACCAATATTCAAAAACCCATAGAAAACCTAGTCTGGTTAACATTGTGTGGCTACTAATATTCAGAAACCTGTAGAAAACCTAGTCTGGTTAACATTGTATGACTACTAATATTCAAAAATCTATAGAAAACCTAGTCTGGTTAACATTGTGTAGCTACTAATATTCAAAAACCTATAGAAACCCTAGTCTGGTTAACATTTTATAGCTACTAATATTCAAAAACCTATAGGAACCCTAGTCTGGTTAACATTGTGTAGCTACTAATATTCAAAAACCCATAAAAAACCTAGTCTGGTTAACATTTTATAGCTACTAATATTCAAAAACCCATAGAAAACCTAGTCTGGTTAACATTGTATGACTACTAATAATCGAAAACTCATAGAAAACCTAGTCTGGTTAACATTGTGTGGCTACTAATATTCAGAAACCTGTAGAAAACCTAGTCTGGTTAACATTGTATGGCTACTAATAATCGAAAACTCATAGAAAACCTAGTCTGGTTAACATTGTGTGGCTACTAATATTCAAAACCTATAGAAACCTAGTCTGGTTAACATTGTGTGGCTACTAATATTCAAAAACCCACAGAAATCCTAGTCTGGTTAACATTGTGTGGCTACTAATATTCAAAAACCCATAGAAAACCTAGTCTGGTTAACATTGTGTGGCTACTACTATGTAAAAACCCATAGAATAACTTATCTGGTAAGATTGTGTGGCTACTAATGTATAAAATCCCATGGAATACTCTATCTGGTTAGCATTGTGTGTCTAATAACGTATAGAAACCCATGGAAAACCCTATCTAGTTGTGAGAGGTCTCTATTGAAACTATGCATCTTCTGATTAGAATAAAGATTAATGTTTTCTGAATTTAGTTGTTTTTAAATCAAAATTCCTCATATGTCCAAACTTCGGTGAGATTGCTCATTACTTGTCAAACATTAAACTTGACATCGTATTTATCTTTAACGTCGATTAGAATTAGTAAGAGTCGGTATAGTTGATTGGTTTATTTAATCATTAATTAAATAAGTAATTGAAAAACATATCAGGCAGCATGTTCTGTCTTTATATATATATAAATCTGAGTTAGCCATGCTTTTTTATCTTGTTAACTCAATACGTTAGTTCCGTAACTAATAAGTAACTTATTATATTGGCAAGTTTCAGGAAGTCGTTTAAGACCTGACACGAACAATCTGATTAGTATAGGATTAATAATATAATAAACATTTAAAACACAGAATGAATCGAATTATCACAGTTGCTTTTCTGTATTTCTTCCAGAATTATAGATGCTTTTTCTTGGTTTTAAATAGTGTATCTTTCCTACGAGCCCTCGAGAGGCTCAGCGGTAAGTCCGAAGACTTATAACACTAAAAACCGGGTTTCGATACCCGTGGTGGGCACAGCACAGATAGCCCATTGTGTAGCTTTGCTCTTAAAAACAAACAAATAAAGCAAATTTTCCCACGATCTGTATATATAGTTAAAAATTACTAATAGTTTGAAATATTTTTTTAGTGTTACCTACAGTTTCTAGTGGAATTATGAAGATTGCAAGTGTGTAAAATAATTCACAAAAGGAAACGGTGACGATGCCGAAATCAGTGGCTGTTGTTATTATATATAGTTTTTAATATTTATTTTTTGTTAGCAAAATATAAAATTACTCACTAATCTAAGCGGTTTAAGGACATTTCACAATTTGGTTTTGTTCAGGTATTTGTAAAGAAGGAGGAAATGATACGTCACTTCAAATGGCATAAAAAGCGTGACGAATCTCTTCAACATGGTTTTATGCGTTACAGCCCAATGGACGACTGTTCAGACAGGTTTACAAATTGCTCCCATAACCGGAAGCAAACCCATTACCACTGCTTAAAGGTGAGATCTGGTAAAGGATAAGTTTTGTGTATTACCTTTTATTCTTGGTGCTTATCTTAGAGCTATTTCCGTTCATAGCCATTGTTGTTTTCTCGCAGTTTATATCCACATTTAATCTGATCTTTATCTCTGGGACAAAATGTAATGTCTTTAGCAGACTACATCTTTGTTGCATATTCGTAGCCTGAAAAAAAAATTTCAACAGTTGTCAAACGAATAAATGTAATACACGCAAACGACTACAAAAACTAGATATTTTTAGAAGCATAAGTTAGGAAAGTAAACTACTTCATCTGAAAAGCATGTATCAACATAACTGGTTTCTTGAAAATAAATTATGCTTCAAACACTCCAAAACCTTACATTTATCATTTTACGTTTATCAAACTAACATACCGAAAGAAATTACAAAATGGTTGTCAAAATGATTTGTAAGTAAAGAATTTTAATGGACATTATACACCTGTATGAAACTAGTAAAATGTTCATCAGATTACTGCATAGATAAACCAACCAGATTCTTTACATTATTTTCTCAAGGTGAAATAATGAAATGACCGAACAATATATTTTACAGTTGAATTGTTTTTAGTTCGGTTTATTTGAAAGCATGCCAAATTCTTCAAATACAGATTTTATGTCTTGAGTCGTCAATACTGTCTGAAAAAAAAGAGAGGTTAATTATATGTTCTGTTTTGCTGTACCTTATTATTTATGGACATATTTTTTTCTATTGATATACATCTTTTATAGCTAGATATTCTATAGTTGATTAAAATAAAAAATTTTCAGATTTTTGTGAATATTTATATATAGCTTTTACAATGCTTTTATGTAATTTATACATACCACTTCTAAAGACCGCCGCCCCCATTAATTCAGCGATACGTTTGAGAGCTTATAACGCTTAAAGTCTTTGATACCTGTGGAGGACAGATCACAGTTAGTTCATTGTGTAGCTTTGCGCTTAAAACAAACAAGCAAATGGCCTTTAGGACGTTGTCGTTTTACTGCATTTCTCAATGGCCTAGCGTGGATCGGTGAGGGCATTGGCATGCTCTGGTGGGTTAGGGAGCTTGTCTTACAAACTGCGGGTCGCGGGCTCAAATCCCATTACCAAACACACTCGCCCTTTCAGCATGGGAGCGTTATAATGTCGTGGTCAATCCAACTGTTCGTTGGTAAAAGAGTATCCCAAGAATTGGCGAAGGATGGTGTTGACTAGCTACCTTCCCTCTAATCTATCACTTCAAAATTAGGGGCGGCTAGCACATATATAGTCCTCGTGTAGCTTTGAGCGAAATTTAAATAGTACCGTTACAGGCACTTTAAAGACATAAAACACTTCGTATGAAAATCTTTGAATGAAAAATTCCAAATATTGCATTATATGCTACTAATACAAATAAAAGTACTTCGAAAGGAGTACCTAGCCCAAAACATTCCAGCACAAAATGTTTCTAAAGAAATTAAATAATGTTTATATATATATATATATATATAAGTTATTTTGACAACATGTTTCTCAATATTTTCCTCCTTGTATTCTATGAAATAAATATTCGAAATATTTTAATTATCTTTGATTTTATGAACTGAAACATTAACTTTTATAGTTTATCGTTCGTTTGTAATCTTAACTTAATCATTTACGTTTTTCCAGTCATGGTTTACTTTAATCATATTTAATCCCCACAACTTTATTGCTCATTTATATCCGTGTCATACTTTAACCATTTAGTCTTAAGAAGTCCTTACATGGATTATCTCTAATCCTAAACTGATTTACCTCTAATCTTCAACATTTACGTCTGTCTTTACCACTTCATACTTTGTTTATTAAGTTATTAAGTTCGTTTTTCTTTACTCGTGTATACATATGTCTAACAATGGTTGTGCGCATTTCAAAACGTAATAACTTTTAAACAAAAAAAGATCAAAAACATGCAGTAAATTGCACATTAGTCTACGTACCCTAAAAATTGATATTAGATCTCCATGTGAACACTGTTGACTTTAGTGCACTCTACAGTAAAATATCAAGCATTAGGCTGGAGAGAGTAGCACCAGGGGATAAACCTCTCCGCAATTTTCCAATCCAGCAGTTGGCAGGATATTGTTCAGTTTCTCACGAATACAAAGTACAAAATGAGGTGGTACCTGCCTTTCTGAAAGAAGCGCTTGCTAATAGCACCATCAGCTTCCAACTGTGGGAAGAAATAGTTCTGCAAGTATGTAAGTTCAGTGACTAATTTTTATTGAGTGACTATAACTCTTTTGTCATGGAACAGCACACCAAACACTGGCTTTCAAAGTGGTTGTGCGGATTCTCATTTCACCAAGTTCGACAGTCGTGTCTGTTCTTTGTTCCACACAGATGGAATGTTTCCTCATTAAACATGATGATGCAACCAAGGAGCATATCGTCATGATTCGTCTAGTTGAGAAACATGGCATTCATCAAAAGTTTAGCTTTGTAGTTTTCGTCGAGCAGCTGCTCCACGATCCGAATTCATATTCACGAAAGTTCAGATGAGATATTACAACTGTTTGTTAAGTTCAAGAGGAGCTTTGGTCGTAGATTTTCTGGGTTACACTGAAACAAATTCAGCTACTGAAGCGACATTGTTTGCACTTAAGCTGAATCATGCAGCGCTTCTTTCAGAACAAGCCAATTCTATGTCCTTAAATTCCTTATGCCATCTCTTAATTGCTTTGTTAGAAGGTGCACGTGCATGAATGACTTACCGAAATTTTCGTTGCACGAGAATAAGAGACATCACTTTTATTTTGTTTGTTTGTTTGTTTTTTGCTAAACAGTCATCATTTTGGAGTTATTTCTCAATACAAACTTAAACCTTGATTTAGGCCAAAATTGTGAGATAGAATATAACTTGGGGCTTTTAGACAACATGTTCTTTCTCGCGTATCTCTATCTTTGTTTAAATGTTATCACATTTTAACATGTGTGCAACTACTTAAAGATACCTTGTATAATACTCAGTTATTTATACTGTTTCTCTAACTCTAACAGCTAGCTAGCTTTTTATCCATAGTTAACATTCAACAGCTCATTTTTCGTTTATATTCAATCCTAGCTGTTTAATTTAAAACAAAATATTCAGAAATTAATGCTTCGATTATCGCTATTCCAGTCGTAAGCTTAAAGTTGTATCTAGCTCTAATAAGTTTTTTTGTTCATAATCGTCTTGAATGATAACTAATCATCGTTAATTCCAAAATCCTATTGCAATCAGGAGGGTTGTGATAAGGTCTACATCAGCACATCGGATGTCCAGATGCATGCCAATTACCATCGGAAGGACTCGGCAATTATTCGAGAAGGATTTCAAAGGTTTCGGGCAACCGAAGACTGTGGCACTCCATCTTGTTCATTCTACGATCAACGAACAACACATTTTCACTGTCGACGGCTAGGGTGCAGTTACAATTTTAAAAATAAAGCCGATATGGGTAAGAAAACATGTTAAAAATCACATTTCTATGTGAAAAAAAAGTTTAGTTTTGTTAAACCTGAAATCTTTGAGAAGGTATTTGCACTCGGATAATGAAGTATAAGTGTAGATCTTACCTTGTTTATTCGAATATGCTGGTGTCCTGTCTTACAGGAAGTCTTTAGTCTGTGAAAATAGTCCGTATATATATATATACGTTAAGTGCAAGTTGAATATATTTTTTTATTAATTAACTCATTGTACCAAAATACTCTACTAAAAACGTGTGTTAAACGTTAAATCAGTTACATTAACGTTTGCTGTTCAGTACTTCATATTGAATTAGGTTTTAGTTTTTACTAGCTTTTCTCACTTTTCCTGACATACGTATTACTGCATATTCAGATTTAGTGATGTTTGAATTTTCCCCGTTGCGAATGTTAATATAATATTTCATTTTCTAAAGTGTTTGGGCAAATATCTATATGAGTTGACGAAGAAAGGGGAACATTTGCCTTCAATAAGCACGTGAACCACTGTCTATAAATGAACATGTCTGCACATCACTCATAATTCACATTCATCTTCTTCTCGGTGTGTGTAAAATGTGTGCAGATGTCAAAGCTAGTCATCCTTGTTATGACTCTGTTCCAGATATCAAGTTCTCTAGGAGAGGGTTGGTAATGTTGGAATCTACCTGAAAGATGCATTCTTAACCAAGAGAATACAGATGGCAATGCGATCTAGAGCAAGAGACTCTATGGTGACATAAACCAATATGGTTTCCAACTAATAAAACCTCAAATGCAAAAAATAACAATAAAAAAATGGTTGCATGAAAAATGTAATGTGTAGTCCGGGCCGCCACACTTCATACTACATCGTGCAATGAAATAGAAAGATAACAACCAAAGTATACTCAACGTTTACCGATGGACAATAACAACGAATCCTTATAGAGGAGACAAGTAGGATGTCAGAGAAACTACCTAACAGTCTTTCGTTATTTAAAAAACGCATGTTATGTGCATGCACTATATATGCACACTGAGTGTTTTAAAATACTCTTAAAAGATAATACGATCAAATGTGTCACCCTTAACCTTTGTCCAATCAAGCGGACGCGTATATTTCGTAAAAAATTATTTATACCCGAATGTTTTATTATAATTGTAAGAAGCTCAGACGGTATCAAAATAAAATCAGCTATATTTTCATTGTTCTGAAAAACAGAATAACAGTTAACCACTACCAGAGGAATTCAGGTGGACAGTGTTACTTTATGGTATTACACGTTTTTCCTGCTGATGTTTTTGTGTTTTTCAAGATGACAATGTTCTTCACTACTGCAAGAGTTCTTACATACTGAGGATAAAAAAGCCTTATTATTTCATCAGTGCTTGTCCAAATGTTAGCCTTCATTCCTATCGAACTACTCCTTGCTGCCTAATTACCAGACATTATTTCTACCGAACCTTTTTAATCAAGGTTTCGACATGATCTGACTTTCCTGATCTTAATAAGGAACAGTGTCACATTCCTTTTGAAACTTTCTAGTACCTCGCTGCTGTGCTGCCAAATCAAATTCGTGTCATCCTCAAGGCTCATGATGGCCCAACGCCATAATAAACGTTTTTGGACTACAGTTTCTTTTTATTCTTTTCAACCCCCTAAATATTTTCATTATACAGTAAAATAAACCATATCATTAAACCGTTTAGAAAATACCAAATAAAAGAAGATTGTGCTAAAGAATTGAAGGCAAAAACTTGTCAATGTGATGCATGAGAAAGTGCTGAAGTGAAAAGATAAGTTGTTGCCTCCTTTACCGAAGTGTTCCTTATTATGAGTGACCATATGATCTTCTATTACTATTTATTTCTGAAAAACTAAGAATTATTAGTATAAAAGTGTTTATTTTTCTGTAAAATAACTTTATTTAACAAACTCATTTACATATAAACATATACATATTCTTGTTTTGTTTTCTTTCATCAAATATATTAATGATCTGGCCTCAGATTTAATTTTTAAGCTTTAAATTTCACCCTTGTTGTATCTCTGGTCAATGATAGTAGCCATAGCATGAAATTCCAGATGTCGGTGTTCCACGTGAATTCTACCATTCGCTCATATTTGATATTTATCTGATTGGTTAATAAAACTTTAACTTATTTCCTTCCAAGAGGGGAGCATTCCGGACTATATATAAGTATGAATATTTGCTTATCTTACTTTCTTAGCAAAAAAATAGTGTTCAATATTCCAGATGTCCACAAATTATTTATTGCTTTCGTTTGCTATACAGTTACTTAAGATAGGCCTGGCGTGTTCTCGTGTTTAGCATGCTCAAAATGTGAATCCGATGGTTTGAGGTTCGTAGCAGAAACGCACTCCGCATCTTGAGACAGCTAAAAAATGAAAAAATGACAGTCAAATTCTAACTAGTCAGTCAGACAAGAGTAGCTCAAGAGATGGCAGTGTGTGCTGGTAACTAACTATCTTTCTCTACAAGTTAAAAATTCGGGACATCTATGCACGGATAGTCCTTTGTGTAACTTGTCACGAAAAGTCCAAAACGAACATTTATGGCAATCAAATAAATTCGAAATTTACTTTGTTGCTAAATAGATGTGATCGTATAATGCACAATATGGACCTTATAAACTGTCGTAAAGGAGTTCCCAGATTTCAGAACACGCGCTTATATATTTATACCACTTATTTCAACAGATAAATACGATAGGCTCACAAGTTAACTAAATAAGTTGTAGAAAGTTTGTAAATAACTTTGACAAACGTTTTTCTACTAGCTTTTCAACTAATGTAAAACAATATATGTGACGCACGATGCTAGACAGAGGACTGGAGATTGAACAATCACAGTTAGATTGATGGCATAGCTATATATGAATATATCAAAGACCTATGACATCCCCAATTTGGGGGAATACAAATAATATTTCTCGATTTAGAAGAGAAAACAAACACTCCCCATCATCTAGATGTGTAGTGCTAGTACACATTGGATTTGAAAGTGTTTCAATGATGTGAGTATCCGTCTGACAACTACTTATCAAAGCCGTAGCGTTGATCCCCCACCAATGAACAGAATAACAATATATCATTCCAAATCCCCGTGGGTGTCACATTTGATTGAATTTCACTTACCATTTTTTTACCGATTACAGACGTAATGCTTTGAACTAACGTAACTGCTTTGCCTATTTTTGAGAAGAAAAATTACTCACTGGTTGAATACAAACATTTAGTTGATGTAAAATTCCCTAATTTAGCGTTTTATGTTTGAATAACCTATTTTTAACGGTTTAATTATACGGCTCGATGATTTCTTATTTCGCTGTGTAACCCTATTGTAAACTGCAGAAAGTTAAGTTATAAATTTAATAAATCGACAAAGACCTGAAGTTTTTCCCCCCATTTTGTTTATCCGTTATATCAGAAAAACACAAAACCTTCCATATTAAGGATGAACAGTTGAACAAGGATGGTTTCAAGAAGTTCATGAAGCAGGATCATTGTTCGTTTGAGAACTGTCGATTCTCTCGTGTATGCAATCACATCCACTGTATCCGTCCAGGTAAGTTGGAAAAGTAATTTAGTTTTTGTTACTGTTATTAGAAACATGTTTACTGTTGCGCTCTTTGACTGAAGTATTTAGGTCTTATAAAAGAGTTGAAGACATAATTATATATGGATGGATGTAGTTGATATGGCAATGAAAGTAACTCATATTATACGAATTACTTATCAGTTGTTAACGTCTAGTGAATTTCATTAAAAATGCACCATTCAGAGTGATTGGAATATTGCCTAAGAATTATAATCGAAACGAATTTTTTCACGGACACCCACCACGAAGTGACGAACCAAAGCAATACCGTTGAACCATTTCCTGGTTTTTTTATCTAATATATATAGATATCAGCAGATGTGATTTCCTTTGCATCGAAGTTTATCTTTTACTTCGTAGCAATCTTCTGAGCTTTTACGTGTAAAAGTACAGAACATATTGACAATAATAAATTTAATCTAAGCTTTCATCTGATCACTTTAAAAACTACACTCTGTTATTGACTGTTTTCACCAACAAAGTTGACCACTCTCATAACTGTCAAGTTCCTGACACTGCTATGTAGACTTCCACTGTGAAGAGCCTCGCGCGTACTGTAGTATAATTTCCCAAAATTCTACATAATAATTTTAAGTTCCAACAAAAAATGATGGATTAAATGTGCCAATACAAATTATTGAACCGTCAAATAGAATCATCTATTACATTTCTGTCTTTTAATATCAACTGCAATGAATGACAGGGTCGAATTGAATAAATGTTGGGTGGATTTTGAAGAAAGAAATGATTTGAGGCCCTACAGTGCTTTCAAGGGAATAGTAACTCAACTGTCAAAGTAATAGTGGCAGTTAACTACAAGTTGATTTGGCAAGATAAATGAACTGCTAATTATTTGTTGGAATACAAATAAATTCCTTCTAGATCACTGAGTAAACGAACCGACTGTCTATGACGCATGACTTGTTGGCTTGTTAGAGATACAAGTATGAATTAAAATTGAAAAAACAATTACATAAATTAAGTTTCTTGTGAAATTTCTCTACAGGGAGATTTCCCATTATAGCACTTGAGTACAAAGCCTGTTAACACTCCCGAGGCTGTGAGAGATATAACAAAAAATAAATCGTAGGGTCCTTCTGACAGCAAGGCCTGAGGCTAGGTGACTTCAAATACATTTTAATGTATATCCAAATAATCGTTCATTTCCTCAAGGTAAAAATGTGATTCAAAAGCAGGTGAAATTTCCTCTGCAATTTTCTTTTCAAAACAACGCTTCACTTTGATTGTTATTGTTATTAAGGATAGAAGCTGAAATTGGTGGACTCATTTTTTTTCAAGCTTTTGAGACTGTGCTAAACTTTGAAGGTCAATAATTAGTAAATTCGAAGCACATCCTGTTTTCCACTTACAAGTTTTTAAAGTGATTTTAAATACTGATATGTCGTACATAGATTAACCTTGACAAATATAATGAATAACTAAAGAAAAGCGGAAAATAGTAGTTTTTAATAATATTCATTAGTAAAACTGTTTGCGCAAGTCCATTTTTACGAAATGTATGTTCAGGTATATTTCCAAGTATATATATATCATTAACTGTATTTTTCAATATATATATAAATAAACAATATATATATATCACATTCAAAATATATTATGGTTCTATGTAATATTTTGTGGATATTTCCGAAACTCTTTCCTCTCGTGACCATTTCTGGAACAAAATGTGTTTCAATAATAAGAGTCATGAGTATGATCCTTCTCAAGATTACTTACGACTTTCATAATTAAACGATAAGATTAATAACAGGAGTGATCATAAGGATTTTCTATACATTTACCGATACTACCTGAAGTTATCGAAAATGTTCTGACATTTTTGTCCCATTTTCAGTATTGTTATTTTTCCAAAAATATTACCCTTCGTTTGTAGAAATCTTTGTTTTATTGTAATTTATTAGCTGTTGTACTCTGCGCGGACGTTTACTTCAGCCTTGGGGCATAGTTTTAATCCTACTGGCATCAGGAAGTTTTGCTGACACCCTATCCAACTTTTCTAGGGTGCACATATGTTCTACACTCAAGTGGACAGCTGTATTCACATAAAAGAAAGCACGAGAGGCGGGAAAACGAGATGGCGTACCGCAAGTATAGATTGGCACAAAGCATGATGAAGACCATGTCAGAGCCTGGAGCAGTACCATCCAGCATCGCTTCAGAACAGGTAACGTGAGCTGAATACTAAACGAAAGGGTAACGATGTTTTCTGAAAGTGACAGTTACATTTGTTCATTGTAGATCAAAATATTCTTAATAACAAAGGGATAAAAGAACCAGTAAGTATCATTATTTAATGTATTTTTGTAATTAATAAATGGTAGTTTTATATAACATTTTAATCAGGGTGCTGAGATACGTATTTTCTGCAAAGCCCAAGTTTAATTTGAAGCAGCAACGCAATAGGATTTTTGATGCCTTATAAACTGAGCTTTATATATGCTGGTTTTGAATATTTTCCATGTTTCTTAGATAGCTTTGCAATAATTTCATTAACAATTTCGAAATAGAAATATTCGGTGCCTCTTTTAGTGTAGAGTTGTTGTAGCTACTGACAAAAATACTTTATTATGCAATTGATTCCTCGAATTTTTATTCCAGTTTATGATTATTCTTACATTATGTTTTAGCTCATGAACTTACCTGAAGAATCTTCTGGAAGTCGAAATTCCAGTGTTATATCGACTCCCAAGAATCAGTCTTCTACTCCAGCACCCATTCAACCAAACCTCACCAGCGACTTGCTCAACGATATGGAAAATGTTGACACTTCAGTTGATGAAATAAGCACTTCTCACCAAGACAACACTTCAGCTTCAAGATCTTGTTTAGATGATAGTCTCCCATTGTCTTTTGCTAATTTTACAAGCTTACCGACATCTGTCTGTCTGAATTTAAACGCTGAATCATCTTATTCTAAACCCGACGTCAGATGCAATTTGGCCTCTCTAGAAGCCGTAGACTTGACCAAAGTCGTATCTAAACCAAAGAACCCGGATGACGCATGGAAAAAATACGTAACGAGGTAGGAAATATATAACAGTCAAACTCATCTAATATAAAATAGAAAATGAAGGTAGTTTAATATATTATAAAATATATTCTAAAATAGCTTTACAAATGTTCAAAAAAATTCTTAAAACTTCTTTCGAACAAGATTTTTCCTGTTAGATTAAAACTGCGTGACACATTATATTTTTCATCAAGTATGACATTTCCAAATTCAAATAATAAAAAAAAATTGAAAAACTAAAATAGAATTTTATCCGTGTAAACAATTCTAGAAAGTAATGCTCACTTAATTATTTAATGTTATCTTAAAGAAACGAAAGACAGTATTAAGACCGTGGTAAAATTAATGTTAATTTAAGTATCTGAAATCGACGTGTCGTAATTTGTTTGGTATTGTTTATAGAAATAATATACTTTTTATGGGGTTTGTAGTTTGCAAACTTATTGTATTTTCTTCATGTTATTCTCATAAGAATGTGATGTAAATAAATTTCAAACAGGCTCGATCAAAAATGTTTTTTATATAAATGTATGTTAGCTATAATTTATAATTTTGATTAAAATACGAACAATTTTCTCTTCAGCTATACAGCGAATACTCTCTGTAGATCGGAGTGTGAACTAGCGTTTAAGGACCATTTTCACTGCTCTACTGACAACTGCGACATGATCTTTCGAGCTGAAGAAATCAGTGTTGCTAAGGAGCATGTCAAGTAAATACTATACGCTTCACTTTCGAACTTCACCTATATTTTATACTGTTGTTTACATTAACAAAATATGTTTCTATCCTGTTTTGAGCATTAAGACAGAAATAATGTTCATTCTGTAAAAACTGCATGTATCTGGTATAAGATTAATTCACCAAATTGCTTCTTCTTTATTTTAATGTTTTTCAGTTTTCAACGAAAGAGATGTAGGTCCAAGTAAAAAGTATTTAAAAAAAAAGGATTAGCAAAAGTGTTAATAACTACTGTACGCTTTGATGATATTATTTTAACATATGGATATTAATTTCTTTATATAATGATAGTGACTGAAAAGCCCAGGTTTCATATAAAGATGAAGGTCACATATAACGAAAAACATTTTGAAGAATAATGAAAAATAATTTCATTTGTTTACAATAATTGAAAATCACATCATTTCCATAGTCAAATTTCTCTATATAAGAATAATAATACGCATTGAACACCACAATACTACATTTACCAGATGTCAGCACTGTTTACACATTTGAAATGGTGATATCCCAAGATAAGGTCAAATGCACCTTGTTATATATCAAGCTTAGTACTGACGCACATGTGCATGATAAAAGGTCTGGTTGTGGTAAACCTTTAAAGTTTCATCAGTTGTTATTTTTTTATATAAATCCTTATATTCAGTATATCTTAAAAATAATTCAACTGTAGTTTCATTATACGCTTTAACTAATGTTCAAAGTAAACACTTTACAACCAACTGAAACTTCATTAGATTTTACTTTTCCGAACTGGTAAACATGTGACTTCATTGTTAATGATATTGTTGTTATCTGACCTTACCAAATTGAATTTATTGCTATGTTATTAGAAATCATGAAACCCAGAACAAGATAACAGAAGCATACTACATTACAGTGGAGGCTAGATCACCAGTGTCCTGCCCTCTGGAGTGCTCACTTAATGGCACAGAAAAGCACTATCATTGTAACTGGGTAAGTATCTGGTATTCACCATAAACGTTATCCAGAAATGTTGATGTTTAGCCATTTTATAAATCTCATTTATAATTATTCATTTACTCACTGCTCGACATGTTAAGTTTAATGAACAACACTATACATCACTGCAAAACTTAAAAGGATATCCGTTAACTGAAGGCACTGATATAAAGTACAAAACAACGATTTATCACGAGGAATTAAAATTAATAATGTGTCAGCCACCTGTGTCATATGTGATATCATCTTGTTTTTCTGTACGTTTGAACATCAAACAGTCTGTTCTGAATCAAATGAGTTAAATAATTTGAACCTTTTACACAAAGATAAACGTACTTTAGAAATATTGCCTTCCGTCGATAAAGACAAGGCTTCATTGTTTAGATTATAGAGACCATACCGACGTTTCCCTTTGTATATTTAAGGCCTATAAATCTTTGATGGATACGCTAACTCTTTTATTTTCCAACAGAGAGAATGCCAAGTGGTTATAAGCAGCATGGACAAACCGTTCGAGCGATTAAATCACTACAAAGTCCATAAGTACACTGAAAAACAGAGCCGGGATCACGCGCCTATGGCTTTAACCACCTCCGTTGACGGGATTTTCAAACGAAAACGTGGACGACCACCGAAGAACAGGGTTATAGAGGTACATCTTTAAATAATTAAACAATAATATAATAAAAACAGAAACAAAATAGACCGAAAGGGTAGACATTTTTGGAACTTATTGCGTTTATTTGTATATTTAATAAGATTAAAGGCTTCTGAGTTATTGACACATGCAGAAAGAAGCTTATTGCATATTTTCTTATTATTTTATCAGTCTTTATCATCATAAGTAAAATAGTTTATTTATTAATACATTAAAAACATTTAAATCTGACGAATAAAACTTTGATTTGTTTCAACTTTGTTCAATCAATATAAAAGAATGTTCAACAAAAATATAACGGATAGCTGTGCTCTGCCCATCGCAGGTATCGAAACTCGGTTTTTAGCGTTATAAACCCTCATACTTACCGCTGAGCCATTGTGGGAGCTACTTAGGGATTGAAACGACATTAATCGTATCCTATTATCTGGTAATAAAACTCCCTTTGCTATAAAGATCTGTTAAGCTTTTTCATGTCTGGTTCGGGATTCTTAAACTACATGAATTACTCATCATGTTTCTAATAGTCTAGTGTATTGCATAAAACAATTAAAGGATAATCGGAATTTGAAACATTTTAGCAATGATAAGGTAAAACTAGTGCTGTTAATCACCTCCCAACCTTCAATTAATTTTTATGTAGACCAAGCCTCTGGTGGTTCATAATGTGATCTCTAATGCAACTGATTGGTTATTCATTCTACGCTGGTAAATGAACATTTGGGTAGAATCGGACTCGCATCTTTATTCATGATATTCCTCTACACCATAAATAACAAGAGAAACCTTGCACCAATATATACAAGCTTAAAATTAGAATATTCTTAAAGTCCTTAGGCATTCTCGACCACCCCTCTGAAAGGCCAGTTTCCAGCGCAGCTTTAATGCCTGAAGTCAATTAATATGACGCGATGAGTGTGCATACCACTCCATTTAGTTAATTCTCGTTTCTTCGAGGAACATGTTGACCAGTTTAGCACGTGAGAGGTGAGTGTTATCGTTCATTAGGTTGAAGTCAAGGACAAGTGCTTAGTTATGTGTAGCACAATAGGTGGAAGGATATGGTCCTTGTATGGTGTGGCATTTTAGGTACCATTTCGTAGTGTATTCACCAATAGTTATTCCTTCTCACCCATACTTCTACCACTACCATTTTCATGTTTCTGTTTAAAAGTTGGGTTGAATTTGGTTCCAGATTAACTCCAAATAAGTGTATACCTGTTGTTATTGTAGAGAGAAAGACCAAAACAAAAGTTCGACTCCATTGCATAATCAGTTACTTGGTGGATTCATAACTTGGTGTAAAATAATTGTTGCAGTCAGTTTATTAATGTTAATAAAATGTGCAGCATTTTAACGCATTTGTTCTTTTTTTTTCAGTTTTCAGTACCTTCTACTCCACACAACTTTCCACAGGCGATATACACAAGTTTCAAACTCCCAAAGCCTACCTCCGTTCCTCATCAAACGTTCATGGCAACACCATTTAGACATTTTGGTGTTTCTGCTCCACCTCCTCCACTTCTAATGAAAGAATCAAATGCATGTTCTCTGCTTTCCTCTACCATGTCTCCAAATATACAGTATCATTCATCATCGGACATCTCTAGTCCGACGTCGCCAACAGAAGGGGTAGGCTTTGTATTGGGAGCTTCACCAGTTTCGGGATCATCTATGGAACATGACAGCGAAACCTTGTCTTCAATCCAGAAACTGAGTCAAATGACCGTGGCTTCTTCAGCGCCTATAGAGAAAGAGGTGAGAAAAACCTAGAAATAGCAGAACTCTTATTATAATGCAAATCTAGAATGCTTATTGATGATTGAACTGTCGAGCTATCTACTCTGTGACAACTACAGGAATTGAACCCTGGATTTTAAGGTTATAAACCCTCAAGCTTCCCTTTGAGCCATTGTGTGGAAAAAATGTTCATTTAATGAGATTAAGTTAGGAATTATTGGTTTAACCAAATATGACAGTAAAATTTATTTTGTTACCCAGTGGCTCAGCGGTAAGTCTGCAGTCTTACGACGCTAAATTTCGTGCTTCGATACCCGTGGTAAGCAGAGCATAGATAGCCCATCGTGTAATTTGGTGCTTAACGAAAACCCACAACCCTCTCAAGGTTTGTTTTACAGAAAATGGTAAAAAGTCTCTATTTAACACCATAATGCTTACATCATTTCTTTAATTAAAAAGATTAATGAAGAAGGCTATTTTAAATATATGTAATGTTAAAACTCTTTAAACCAATAGAAATTACTTTGACCAATGAGAAGAAAATAAAAATAAAAAGTTTTTAACAGATGAACAAAATAATGGTTCTTTTAACCAGACAGCATAAGGAGTAGCTCTTATAATTAAAGAGAATAAATAAAAGTTCCAGATGATCTATAAGCTTGAGTTAAGTGTGAAATGTGCAGCAACTGTTTATCATTGAAACATTTGTAGAAATGTATTGGAGACTATAGAATCTACCCGTGCAGATCAAGTGTAGAGGACGACGTCTCGAAAGTCTTCTACTTTTCGTCTTTGGACCTGAAGGCGAAGAATGCAAAACTTTCGAAACGTCGTCTTCTACACTTGAGCTGCATAAGAAGGTTGTATATTTATCACTTTATTTCTACAAGTGTTTCTTTAAAAGATAGTTGCCTCCCATTTCACAATTAACTCAATAACAATACTTTGCCTAAACTATCTGTTAGAGAAGAACTGTAAGCTAATTTAACCCAAAAGAAAGTTTCATTGTTTATATCAGATAAGGTAAAGCAGATAATACAGTTAAAAAAGAAAAACGGATCTCATATCAGTAGGAGAAAAATATGAGTTTTAATCCAATATGATGAAACAACTCTTTGATTTAGTACCATAAATCGATTGTTTATTTTTGTAATAAAATTAATAATAAAATAAAATATAAAGGGCCTGTCATGGTCTAGTTGTTAATGCGCTCAACTCGCAATCTAAGGGTCGCGGGTTCGAATCCCCGTCCAACCAAATATGCTCGCCCTTTCAGCCGTGGGGGCGTTATAAAGTGATGGTCAATCCCACTATTCTTTGGTAAAGAGTAGCCCAAGAGTTGGTGGGGAGTGACGTTAACTATCTGCTTTCCCTCTAGTTTACCACATCGAAATTAGAGATGGGAAGCACAGATAGCACTCAAGTTGTCTTGCGCGAAATTCAACAACAAAAAACTAAATACATTTGGTTTGTAAAATGTAGTACAAGACGTATGCCACTGTCCTGTGATTTATTAGCCATTTATTTTTTGAAGAAAATAATATAATTTTAAAGATTGTCGCTCAGAAAATAATTAACATCTATATACATGAAACTTGAACAATGCTGAATGAGAGGACGTTTCAGCTAATTTTAACATTTTATCCTCGTAAACATGCTTGCAAACAATTGGTACTTTATGTACTGTTTATGCATTTTATTACACGTAACAACTGATGATTTGGAAACTAGGAAAATAAAAATGTATAAATTGGAAATGCTTAATGGAACTCTCATAAATAAATGCTGTAATATTTGGAATGTGCAAAAAATTACTTTTGTGATGTTTTATTATTGTTTTAGAAAAAAATCCAATAGTTTATTTGCATCGGTTATGATCAGGGTCGCTCACTAACCAAATAACTAGCTGAAGCAAAACGAATCTAATTTTATTTTATAAATTTGGTACCTTCTTAAATGATTTCCTTAAATTTCCAATCAGAGAAAAAAACCATTAACAAAATATTTTCAAATGTATTATTTGCCCTATGGGTAAATCGCAAAATGATTTTGTTGAATCTTTGTTGTGGAGATCACTAAACTTTCATAAAATGAAATTTAGCATTCATTACGTTAGGTTTTATTCCTTTATGTTATTTTCTTAAAACAAATTACCAAAAAATTAAACTCCATTATGTAATCTGTTTTTCAGGATGGATTTTATGTATTTCCCAAGAACACTCCATGCCCTGACAACTTGTGTCTTTTCCTCGAAAATCACCATTTCCATTGTACTCAGCCTCGATGTCACTTCGTCACAGATCGAAGTGATATTCTTCTACTTCATTCCAAAGATTTTCACGACAACATCGACATAATGGAAGGATTTTTGTTTTTTGATCGCAGTGTTGACTGCCGATTTCTCAACTGTCAAAGCAACAAGGTTAATCGCCATTTCCACTGTGTTCGTCCAGGATGTAATTACTCGTTTGTTCGTTACAGCACCATGAGCATTCATGATCTAAAGCATCAGAACCAAGATGGTGGTGGATCTGGAAACAGTCAATCTAAACAAAAAACATCTGTTAGTGACGAAGAGGAATCTCAGAGCCCTAAAACGCTACCTGTAGTGACAACAGTCATCTCTGAAGCTACCAGAAGTCCTCCAGCAACGGAGAGTTCATATACCAAAGCAACGATAATTAAAGCCAAGGGGACATATTATCCTTTGTCTGCCTTTATAAATAAATCGGATTCAAACCAGAAAAGTACAGCTGGAATGCCAGTTGTCCCTGAAGATGATTTTAGACCTGATAGAGAATGTCAAAAATCTGTGATGACTATTACATCAACTGACAGTGATCCACCATTGACAAAACTTCTCCAACAACCAATTCCCAGTATAAAAAACGCATTTCAAGAAATAAATAAACATATTCAGTATGGAACTTCACAAAACTGTGGACGTCCTTTCTGTAAGCTAAAGAAGAAGGAGCACTTTCACTGTAATATATGCAACCAGGTATACTCTCACAGTTTTACTGAACTAAAATATCTCAGTTCATGTGTCTCAAAGGCTGAGCGATATTCAAGAAGTTTAACTTTTTGTATTTACTCTGATTAAACTTGTATATATTCTAATTTTATATTTCACATTTGCTTTTATTTTCTTAGTCTGCAAGAAACTGAATCTCAAACATAGAAACTTATTATAACAGTTGTACTATGTTCTCTTTGCAAACAAGAAATGCTCATTTTAAACAATATTCCTTTATGCTTTTATTAATAATTAAAGAAATACCGCGCACCTTTTACTATTTCTAGCTACTAAATTATCTGTAAAATTTCAGTTTTTCAGTGTTTTTTAAAGCCATATAGAACAAAGCTCATTTTTAAACATCGTTAAATGTCAAATTGCTAACTGAATATTAAACTAAATAAGTAAATTAAACTTTTAAAAGAATGGATAATGTAATGAGCGTCGTCCATCTGTGGTAATTTGGAGACAATATAAAATATTTTCGAAATGATGTCTCTAAACTACCACATATGGATAAAGTTCAATAGACTATCCAAAATGGATCATTACCCACCATCTAAAACCTTTTTATTCTCTTTAGGCTTTTTCTAGTTTCTCACGACTGAGACCACACGTAACCAAGCATGCTGGTGGTGTAAGTCCGGTGCCAGTTTATGTATCAGATCAGCTAAGTCCCAATACATCATCTCATTCATCAGTTGCTTCTGGTCAAAAATGTGACGAGGAAAATGCTAGTGAAAGCGACGATCCAGACACCGGAAAAGACCAACACCCTCGAAGCAGTATTAATGAAGATAATAGCAATAAAACTAATGATAACCCTCGCCAGACGCCTCTAGCTTCAGAAGCTACTTCCAGTGTTTCAGTACCTCAGTTATTTGCATGGCAGCCATTCCCTCTGACCACTATTTCAGGTCATCATCTCATAACCCCACAGGGAATGGTACCACCAATTTTCACAATGCATGGGAAGACAATTTTTAATCACCACATGGCACTTGCCACTCAAGCTAATATTGTTGCATCGAGTGAAGGTTTCTACGGCTCTCCACAGGTGGACTACAGTGCAAACCGAAAGAAAGAGTCATTAGAAGTTTCAAATATAGCAGGTTGTAACCTTAATAGTTCTACACAATCTAGTAGTTCTAATTGTAAAAAGATGAGAATGCAGAGTTCTCGTATTTTAAAGGACGAGCCGGTTCCTGAAGGATATATTCGTTATCGTTTCAATGAGGATTGTGCTTACACGCATTGTGGATACCGAGAACATCAAACCCACTTCCACTGTATACGTACAGATTGTGGTTATAGTTTTTGCGACAAAACCCGATTTGTCCAACACACAGCTCGCCACGAGCGGCTTGACACCTTAATGGGCGGCGATTTTGAACAGTATCGAGCGAATATTAACTGTGGTCGGCCAGATTGTATGTATATGAATACAGTAGGTGCAATGGCAAACAAGGCCTCACATTTTCATTGCAGAAAATGTGACTTTGTGTGCACTGATACTAACAAAGTCGTTGCTCACCGCAGACAGCACCTGAAGATAGACTGTATAAACGCTGCAGGATTTGATAAGTATACCACTTCTCAAGATTGTAATATGGAAGGTTGTAACCACAACCGCAAACAGACTCACTACCACTGTCTCAAGTGCCAGTACGCTGTGTTAGGTTTATCACAAATGTCAGCTCACAAGTACCGCCATATGGATTAAGTTGTTACCTATTTTCTTTGTGCTTTAGAAGTTTAATATTTGTCAGCATTTACTTGGCTTATTACTAAAATGAACACGGAGTGGACTTTATTTAGTAAAACACTTAAAAAATCAAACAAAAAAAAAGGAAGAGAAGTTTCTTTTACCAAATTGCCAATTCTGTACAAAGTAATCCTAATTGTGAGTCATGGATTTAGTATTCTTGTTCTGCTCTTCTCCATTCAAGTGCCAAGAAAGTACATTAGTTGGTTGAGAGATTGTTTGCTGATAGAATGTTTATATCAATGACTTTACTCTATATGGAACCTTTAGTTGTATCTTTGTAAAAATCGAGATAGTGAGATAAGTATGTTTATTCTTGTGTGACATATCTACCTAGCCTTTAGGGCATAGATCACCAACAGGGTCTAAATCATAGGTCATAACCTTGTACAAAATTTACAAAACTGTGCTCAAAGCACACTGTGCATTGTTACTTTCTTTTAGAATGGTACTTTTCATTCGTGATTATTGTAACTTATATATAGGTTCTCTTCTTATATATATATATATATTTAGGTTGCTTTATCATCAGCTGTGACCAAGTAATTTTATAGTAATTTGTAGCGCTAAAAAAGTGACCACTATAATTACTAGTTTTTTTTTCCCACTTCTTCCATCTCTTTTCCCAAGAACTATTTTTTACTTGACAGCAATCGCAAACGATGCAATGCAAGTAAAAAGATATTTGATTATGTGGTATACAAATATTATAGGCAACATAAATACATTGCTGATTAGTAGAAATGGTTAAAGCTTCTTAGTGGTTTGTTTTATTTCTTCACATCCTTTTAGACACCCAGCCATTCCAAAATGAACAATACATTGTGTGAATTTGTCCATTTTAGACTGTAAACAAAACATTCGAGAAAAAAATCCAAGCCTGAATTATTTTATTTAGTAGTTGTTCATTGAAAGGTTTATCTTTCACGCCTTAGCTTTCTCTGTGTTATTCTAAACAACGCCATTTATGATTAACATTAATTATTTCTTCTATTTTCGTAGTAGGGCTCTTTCACAATAACACGTATTTTAATAAAAGTATCATGTTACTTCTACGAAAAATTAATGGTAGATGAAATTTTATATAGCATATTCCCCTGTTAGTTAGTGGGCCTCTGAACTAAGTTTTTGGTCAGCAACTGCTTGGCAAAATTGAATTTCGATGAAGTCCTCTATATGAAATAGAAACGTCATCCACGACTGACCTAATCAGCCAGTTGCATTCTGTACAAAAAATAATTTTATGACTCAGCTGAGGTACGGATAGGTTTATATTTTAGCAACTTCTTTTTATAAAAGAGATATTTTAGTGTTCAAAGTATTATTTCTTAACCATTTCTAAGATTTCAAAGAAAAGGCGTTAAACTGCTGAAATTCTGCATTTTAATAACTATTACAATCTATTTTAATACATTTCAAGTTCTCCAGCTTAAAATGTAGAAAAATATCTCTGCGTATTTTATGTACTTTTTACAACTAGGAACTCATCGAATATATATAGAAGTTATGTCAGGTTATACCTTAAAGAGAAGTGTGTATTTTAGAAAGCGCTGTAAAGTTTAAACATGACTTTTAGATGATATTAACCAAAAGACCAAACTGTACAATAAGATGTTTAAATGTAATGTCTTGGTATTTTAATCAATAATAACTATATATTTTTTGTATGTATATCCTCTGCAAAGTGCCTTTGGTAAATATCGTGACACGATTTTATGACTATGCTTTAAAATTAAGGAAATAAGACGCATACGATTAATAGGATATTGATTTTTTTCCGTTTAACTATGACCAAGTAACCAAATGATATCGTTTTTGCATTATACTTAGGAAAATTATAAAAAAATCCCTTTAAAAACCTTTTAACGTTTCTTTTTTCTACTTTGTAGAATCCTGAGTTTTTGTTTTCTAAGGCTTAGAAACGTACACTCTGTACTTAACAAACATCCAACGTCAAATGAAAATTTTTCATACAGCTTAAGTTATCCGTAAGCCCACAATAGCATAGGAAGCAAGGAGGGTCGCACCCCCTTTTCAATCTGTCCCAGTAAAAATGCATCAAAATTAGGAAAATTACTCTCAGGAAAATCAGAAGAATGCATAAAATTTAACCCAGAACTCAAAAGATTCCAGGGACCTAAGGCGATCCATGGACCCTGGCAATGATGAGTGCCCTTGTAGCGCACATTCCCCCTCTTTGCTCGGTCAAATAAACCTTCTCCCCCACTTTTAATTTTCCTCCTTTACCTCTGGCCTACTAATTAACATTAACACAAGGGAGCGTTTTAAAATGCTCATAAGCTGCTCTTAAACTTTAATCACATTTTTGGAATTCATCTTCTCACATTTTTAACAATAGTTTAGGTCCAATATGATATTCAAAAACTACTTTCCAATAACCATGATATAATTTGAGTATCGTATCGCTCTCAGTTATTCATTATTTTGATGTGTGGTGGATATCTGTAGTCACATTATAAAGGAATGGGTTCTCCAGTATTTGTTTATAAGAATTAAACGTGACAGAACATTTTTTGAACCACGATTTACATAAAAAATCAAATAAGTATAATAAACTAACAAATTCCTTGAATTAATTAAAACGTGGAAACCAAAAAAACTGGAAAATTACTTCTAGTATTAATTATACGGAGCTATATTGATATTATCGTTCAGTGCTATTTCTATCTATATAAAAACGTAATAATCTTACATTATTTTCTAAACAATACGTGAATAGAAATGTGAGACATTAGATTGAACTGTTATTGTTTCTTTCTTACAAAACTCTAAACCACTCATTTTCGAATTTTCCAAACCTCTAGTTTACATTCCATAGTTTACGAACAGGAGACAGTTTGCAGTTTTAGCGTGATAACTCATTACACTTCTTACGCTTAAAACACATTTCTTTTCCTTGGCTTACATCATACTTACTTGTATTCGCTACTGTAAAAGGTGTTCTAGTTGTTTACAGTAAAATGTAATTTATTAATCGTATAACTAAATGTTTATTACTTATTTTGAGCAATGTTATGGACGTTTATAAATCTTTTGTCATTTGGCTTTCATAAAAAAAATAGTATATCGCTTGTCCAACAACTGGCTATCATTGGGAATAAATTATGTTAGATTATCGCCACAGAAATAAACCTTATTTTTCTTCTTAATCATATTTTAAATAGTGCATAAGTAGGGTATCTATAATTTCATTTAAAATGTGTCTTTAAGTCTAGGTTAAAAGGGCTCTTCAACTAAGACAAACAACATCCATTGAATACCTCGTTAGTGGCCGAGGTGCGACCAAGGATATAATGGATCATCCGCTAGAAGGCTCTCCAGTCAAACAACAGAACACTGTAACGCTAAAACCCCTCAACCCCTAATCGAATGTGATATTGTGCCTACCTCCGGTTTTCTCCGCGTAATTATTCATTTCTGGTAATAATTCCACCTTCGAATACTAGAATCTCTTGCCATTAAGTTAAGAAAACCAGCTGTTAACCAGAAGATGGTCAAGCTGTTAATCAGAAGATGGTCCAGTTGTTAATCAGAAGGTGGTCAAGCTGCTACTACATCTTCAGTTGTGAAAATGTAAAAAAAAACATAACAGGACATGAACTTCGATCGTTCAATATAAAAGGGGCTAGAAACTTAACTTAAAGGAATAACCTTGGACGATTAATTTTGGTGCTTGATAAGTTATGTGAGTTAGTTAATTATTCCAATAATGTTATTATAGAACTATTCTTGAGAATTTACTGTGGATTTCAGATTAATTTTAGATGTTTTTTACGTGAATAAAAATTTGAGTGTTAAACGTTTTCTTCTCAGATATTATTATACTCAAAAGCTATATACGTGTTTTTAATTCCAGGACATTTTAATATACTGAATAGTTATTTTTATGACTTTTTAACTATTTTTAGTGTAATTTGGTGCCTTTTCCATTGAATTAAGGCATATTCATATCACCTTTAAACTGTTTCAATGAACGTCACATTTCACAGTCTTTCGTGCTACATGGTTTTATAGGTGTTCATTTCATCTGATCCAATTTGTGGGTCGTCCTTTTAACATGTGTTGTTCTGGCATGCGTACTAGATAAATAAAATGATAATAAATAACATATATTGATATTATATATGTATAAGAGTGAGTTGATTTTATTGTAGCTAAACTACTTGCACGATAACTAAAAGCGCCTTTGTTGGTGTCTCATAATAAACAAAACTTATAAACCTGGGACCTTTTAAAATCTGAAAATTTGGTATTGAATGTTTCGGTGGTCACTATTATAGGCATGCACCTAATTCCCAACTGCTTTACAGAATAATAAACGAATCCCACATATCTAAATCATGATCGATTTCTGTTGTTGCAAAAATAAGATACATGGTAGGAATTTTCACAGTGCTTTTAATAAAAGACAAGTATTCTGAGTAATTTTATTCTAACCATTTTATACATCATCAGGCTATCTGTAACAGGAACTTCTGATAACTTAAACACTGAATGAAATCTGTGAAACAAAAATTCTAGTCTAAAATATGTGTCCGTCGTTAATCTTTTCTTCTATCCAGATATTTGTGCAGCTAGTAGTTTTTATCACTGCAACCTTTGACAATAAAAAATAATTTTTGGTTATTTTCTTATGACAGTATTCCACATAAATGTAAATATAAAAATGTTTTTGTTTGTTTATTGTTAACCGCAAAGTTAAATAATGGGCTATCTGTACTCTGTCCACCATGAGTATCGAAAACCGATATTTAGTGTTGTCGTTTTAAAGCCATCTTGGGCTATCTGCCGAGTCCTCCACGGGAAATTGAGCCCCGGATTTTAGCGTTGTAAGTCCAAAGACTTACCGCTGTCCCACCGGGGGGACATTTTAGTGTTATAAGCCTTCATATGTACTGCTGAGCCAACAAGTGGAGGGGAAGCATTAAACAGAAGTAAATAGTAGTAAGGCATAGCTTTCAGATAACTCTTAAAAACAATATAAATGATTTATTTTACCCCTACGCCTGGTTTTCCTACTTTGTAATGATTGAAGTAATATAAATTATCTATATTATCCACCCTCTCTATTTTTTCATATTTCTATATAATATAAATTCCTTATTAACTATCTTGTAAACGCTTTCTTTAGAACTTCAATAAAAGTTTTATTAAAAGATCAATGACATTTAAATAGTTAACTGAGTATTTCCATTACTTTGTTCCCCCGGTGGGACAGCAGTAAGTCTAAACTACAGGGTTCAATTTCCCGAGGTGGACACAGCAATGTGGATTTGCCCTAACACAAATAAACAAGCTATTACTTTTAGAATAATTTACACATCTATTTTTTTTTTTTTTTGTGTGTGTGTGTAGAAAATAATTCTATTTGTCCATCCTTTTTAAAATATAATTTTATTTATCATAAGAAAAAACGTTCGAAAACTTTTATAATCAATTCACTTTACAAATGTATTCATCGTGTGGCCTGTTTTAAAGTTTAATTTTGATTTTCCAAACAGGTAAAACATTCATAACACGATAAATGTTTTAGTAAAACGAAATCGAATCAAACCTTAAGTTTATCTTTTGTCTAATTTTCAAGATGTTTTTCACCATCTAACCAGAAACTGGAGAAATGAACCAATACTAAACTAGTCTCCACTTTGAGTGGATAAGAGAGAGATAAGCTCTACAACCACCAGTGTTGAAATATCACATGCATGTTTATTAACATCATTTAGTAAATACAGAAACACAATAATTACACAAATACATTATACATAATTCCATAAGAAGAAAAACCTTTACGCTATCGATATTAATATTACTACTGATGCAACTTGACAAAACGTTGATGACGTATTTTTTCATGTTATTTATACGAACTTGCCTTAATGTACTTTATCTAGATTATTAAATATGTTTGTGTGTGTGTATATACTGTGTTAAATTATGATGAAAATCAATAACAGCTATATATTCTGCAAGAAATTACTTTTTTGTTATTTGGTTGTTGAACCTGTACAAAATATATTAGTGGTAAACTGAACCCAAGATGAAAACTTTCAAACTACCGTATTAATGTGTCAGATCTTATTAACCTTGAGCCCTGAGAATAAATTAACAAGTTTATAGATTTTCAACCATTTTTGAGTAACTTGATTGTTCTATCAACCCCAACATGTTCCGTAGGTTTCGATTAATTAAACATATTAACTATTTACTTTACTCAGTAAATATTTAGCAAAATTGAAAATAAGTAATTTTAAAATATTTTGGATTTTAGTTTTGATCTATATTTCTAAACACTTAAAATGGCATTGAAAAGAAAATTGTTAAGGATCTATTTCAAAAGCAAATTTCATGTAATCATTTTTAAGTTTCTCATTTTATATGGAATTTTACAGTACGAATGTAACGTTTGTATGATAAAAATTAAGACATGGTATTATGATATTTTGTGAAAAAGAGGTTTGTTTTAGACTCAAAGAAACACCACAAGATAACATTAGGAACACAGTTTTTAAAGGTTGACTTTCTTATTGTTTAATTTAATCTGAGAGCTCAGTAAAATCCTACAAATATATAAAATTAACAATTATACGTTAAATAGAAGTTAATTAGATCTGATGCTGGTGTCAATACTAATTTAACTGTATATTATCAACTTTTGTACCAAACAACTTAAAACAAAACAAAAAAAAAAAAAACTATTCCCACACGCCTTCTCATAAAGTTTAAGATAAAGATTTATAGCCTACGCAAGATTTTGCATTAAATATTTTTAATTCACCTTTCATACCTTTAAAGAAGAACTATATTTTATAGAAGCGCCTGTTGATATTTAGTCAATTAGTTTAAAATAATCAAAATGTTATTAAATATTTCAAACATTGATCACTTAATTCAGAAAAATTTGAAATACACTGCTTTTTTCGTTATAAGTAAAAATTTGAAATACACTGCTTTTTTGTTATAAGTAAAAATTTGAAATACACTGCTTTTTTCGTTATAAGTAAAAATTTGAAATATACTGCTTTTTTCGTTATAAGTAAAAATTTGAAATACACTGCTTTTTTCGTTATAAGTAAAAATTTGAAATACACTGCTTTTTTTTTTTTGTTATAAGGAAATGTTTCTACATACTATTTTTACCTGTACAGGTATACAATTCCCTACTAACGATCATTTCAGCTATAAAAATGTAATAGCTCTTCACAAACCTTTGCCCTTGTCTCTCATACAAGCTGCTTTGTCACATTACATTCATCTATTACTCAATGAAAGGTCATTAGGATATATTCACTACAGTTTTTCTTTTTTATATTATTTCGTTTAGTTTCATTCATTAAGATCAAGACCTTTTTGAGCTAAATGCAATCTAAAAACTTCCCTCTTGTAATAAAAACAAGTGGCCAATTATAATTATATTTTGTCATTAGAGAAAACTGTCTAGATTGTTTGTAAATATTTATTTTTAAAAGATAATACTATTCAAAAAAATATTGTTTGTTTGAAATTAAGCACAAAGCTACACAATGGGCTATTTGTGCTCTGCCAACCACGGTTTCTAGCGTTGTACGTCCGAAGACATACCGCTGTGCCACTGGGGGGCTTCCAAAAATAAATATATACATACAACGATCCATTAATTAGATTATACAAAGTGAATTTGGCGTTAATTTTTCACTGATTTGATTTTATGGTGTAAGGATCTATATGATGACTTGTAGCTTTACTATATTTCATCTTAATTCTAATCTCTTTCAATATTTGAAAATAAAAAACGTTGGAAGGTCTATGCATCAATATATATAATTACATATATTATGTTCCGTTTAATATCACTTCATAATTATTGAATAAAAAGGTGGAAGTCTCGTAGAAATATAGGGTGGTCTATTTCTACTGAAAGAATATGTTTTTCTTTGTATATCTCATAATATATATAAAAAAGAAAGGGTGGAGGTTGGGAGTTTTACATTGTAGAATTTTAGGGTGGTTTAATTCTACTTTAAGGTTACATGTAAATATTAAGGGTAACTAACTGCCCTCCCACAACTGGCTGCAGACAGTAGAAGTTGAGACGTTGTGGCTACAAGCACTCAACCCCTTAACTGATTCTCCTCAGTTACTGGCTAGTTTGACATCGGCGTCTGGATTTTGTCTGATAGATGGAATATCCTCAACACGTTTGGGTATTATCGCCACAGACATTATCAGTTATGATTTAAGGATGATAACGAGGACTGGTAATGAAAGGATAATTTTGATTTTTCAGTCTCATTCTAATGTTGCTTTTGTTTTGTATTAATCATACATATATATATATATATATGTATAAGCGAAAAAGTGCATAAAACTTCCAACTTTTTTTCTCAGCTTGCACATTCTCTAAAACTGGAAAGTAACTATTTTATTTTCTAATTAGGCAAAAGAAAACGAGATGATGATATCATTTCACATAAGATTGTGACACCACCTAGTAGACAAACTCGAAATGACCTAAAAAACATTACTCTTATACTAAGCCAAATACTACAAATTCACGTAAGCAACAAATACAGCAGTTTACACACCAGGCACTTAGCATAGCTACAAAGATAATAAGCACCGGTTTAACGTGAATACTGCTTAATACTAGCTATATCGTACGCCATGTAACAACATTACAAAGTGTAGTATAAATACACATTTGATCAAATTAATTTACACAAAATAGCAAGTAAGACGTAGCAAACGTCTCGAAAGGCCTTGGGACAAGATTTTCCTGTGCCCCTTCCCCCCTACTCACACCACTGACGGATCAAGCCTATGAGTTTGGAGAAGAGGCAGTAGCTGAAAGGGATCCTTTTCCATATGTTTGGGTGCAAGTTATATTCAAATTACAAAAAAGAAATAAACATTGCCTAAAATTAGATGCTATATAATATTTATATTGGATATAACTTAATCATAGCTACATGTTGTCACAAAATAAAGCAACTGATTGAAGGAAAATAAAATACTTAGTTGGAGCAAAATAAAATAATCATCTGCTTGGCCTTTTTTCTTGTATATCTCTTGCACTATAGAAGCGCTCACATGTATATATTTGAGGCGCCATGGGAAATCAGCCCCCCCTCCCCAACTCTGGATCCGTC